TACTTTGATCTTGGCCTAAGAAAGCAATACAGATAAAACTCTCTACCTTCATGGATTTTATATATTAATAGAAGAGAAACAATTAAATATACATGTAATAAATACACAAAATACATAGTATACTAGTAAAAGAAGAAAAAACAGGTTCAAGACTGAGAGTACAGAGGCAGGGTGTGGATTATTTCAAAACTGAAAATTTAAATAGGTTGAGATAGGCTTTGTTGAAAAAGTAACGTCTTAGCAAATGGATAAAAGATGAAGAAATTGCCCGTGTAAACGTCTAAGAAAAAACATCCTGAGTAAGGAAAGCAGCCAAAACACAGGTAATAAAACAGAAGTAGGCTTAGTGCACTTAAGAAAAAGGGTGGCCAGTATGGCTAGGAAAAAGTAATGGAGGGAGCAAATTCAAAGACATGAGAGTAGAGATCAGATCATGTGTTCCTGTAGACCAATATACAGAAGTTGGCTCTTACCATTGGTCAAAAACCAGAACTTATTAAGATTTTTAGACAAAGAAGTAAAGTTACCTTCTTTTTTAAAAAATAAACTTTATTTGGGGATCATTCTGAATTTACAGCAAAGTTACAGACTTCCCATATACCTCTCATCCAATTTCCCTCATGTACATGCTTATATTACCGCGGTAAATTAATCAAAACTAGAAAACACTGATACATTGCTATTAAATAAACTCCAGACTTTATTTGGATTTTAAGAGTTTTTTCATTAATGTTCTTTTTCTGTTAATCTAGGGTAACACATTATCTTTAGAGTCCTATACCTTAATGCAATTTTTAACATATGTAAAAAGTAACATTCTGGCTAGTCTAGGAGAATAACCTGTATGACTGAATAAAGCAGCATTACTATAACCCAAGAAAGAAATGTTAGTTGCTAATGACAGAAGTTCAAGCTCAAGATGATCAGGGCACTAATGACTGCAATAGTAGTAAACTGTTGAATTCATGATATATTTTGTAAAGGAAGCCAAAAAATTTGCAGATGGATTTTGATAGAATACAAAAGAAAGACGTCAAGGATAACTTCAGAGCAACTGATTGTATAGGCATGTCATCAACTGAAGTGAGAAAGAGGACAAATTTGGAGAGAAGAGTTCATTTGGGACATCTAAAGTCTTATAAATATACAAATGGTGATACAGAGGTAGACAACTGGACTGGATATTTAATTCTAGAGTTCAGAAAGAGAAGGAACTACGGATATGAATATGGAAGCCTTGGATAAACCGATGATTAAGTCAAAAGACTTGATATCATTATCACAAGGAAGGAAAGCGGAAAAGAAAGGAACCAAAGATTGAGCTCCAGAACATTTCAACATAAAATGTATGGACAAATAGAAAATTCAGCATAGCAGACAGAAAGAGTAACCAAAGAGGTAGGAAAAAAAAAAAAAGAAAGAAAGAAAGAAATACGGTCCTGGAAATCAAGTAAAGTAAGCATATCATGGAGAAGCAATAAACTGTGTCCAAAGTTACTGACAAGTCAATTATGGTGATGACTGAGAATGACCAACACCCAGATCACTGGTGACACTAATAAGAGAATCTTGTGGCAGCATAGAAGAAATAGCCATGTAAGAGTGAACTTTAAGAACAGAAAAAGAGAAATTGGAACATGGAGCATAAAGAACGCTTTCAAGAATTTTTGTTACAGAAAAGATCAAACAAATGTGTAGAAAATAGAAAGATAATAAAAAAAGCATATCTTCCCGGACAGCCTTCTTATTACTAGGAATTGAACCCAGGGCTTCCTGCATATCAGGCAAGTGCTCCAGCACTAAGCTACGTACCTATCTTTTTTTTTTTCTATTTAATTTTGAGATAGGGTATTGCTAAGCAACTTATGAAACTCCTGCCTTAACCTCCAACTAGCCTGAACTACAACTGTACCTCAACAAGCCTTGCAAAGCAAAAACAGCATTTCTTTTTGTTTAATTATTTTTTCTAGTTGTAGATGGACACAATATCTTTGTTTTTATTTATTTATTTTTAATGTGGTGCTGAGGATTGAACTCAGTGCCTCATGCATGCAAGGCAAGCACTGAGCCACTGAGCTACAACCCCAGCCCCCCCCAAAAGCATTTCTTAAGGTTAAAAAATAAATAAGTGCAGAAAAAAACAAAACTTTTATAGGCATTTTTACAGGTGGTAATCCAAGAGCCATGGGGGGAAAGGATGAAAAGGGGTTGTGGGACTCAAAGACAAACACTCCAACACAAAGAACCTCAGCTTAGGCTATGGAGTCTACTGGAGGATCAGAGAAAGCAAACAAATCACTGTCACTTAATATATGTGAATATTAAGAAAGAAAAAAGATAACTAATGTAAAAGGAAAATACTAACACTAATATTAATACAAGATACAAGAACTGTGATTATGGTTCAGTGTTAGAACACTCACCTAGCATGTGTGAGACACTGGATTTGAACCTCAGCATCACATAAATAAATAATTAAATAAAGGTATTGTGTCCATCTACAACTAAAAATATTTTTAAAAATACAAGATACAAAATAAAAAGAAAATAGGTTAACAAAGTGGTCTAGTGGTATAAAAGCTATAACAATTTAATTCAAAGCCCTTTTATTATGTGCCTAACATAATAATAATGCAAATCAATCATCTTCCAAACTTATTCCTCAACTCAGGGGGCTTTTATTTCTGTCAAGAACTAAGCCATTCACACAATAATAACTAACACTTAGGCCTGGGCGTGGAGCTCAGAGGTAGAGAGCTTCCCTAGCATGAGCAAGATCCAGAGTTCCAACTTTGGTAGTGTAAAAATAATAAATAAAAGGATAACCAAAATGTCTTGTGTGTTTACTGTTTGACAAATATTTGGCTAGATTATTTCATTTGTATTAACTCATTTAATCCTCACAACTCTGAGGAAGCATGCGACCATCTCCATAGAAAAATTAAAATATGTACTATTTTTACATACAATCCTGGGGAAACCATGAAACCAAAGTTGAATATACTCTTCGAGATGCAGGAGAGAGGATTTTTGAGCAGGGGAATGACAAAGTCAAATTTTCTTTCTTTGATCCAAGATGATTTGAAAAGAGAATCCACAGCAGTACTACCAAAAAGATTAGTTTGGGGCAACTGATATAAGCTAGTACTTGAAATAATTTATCAATAATGAAAACCAAAAGCAGGGTGTCGATTAACTTAATGATCATGCAGCTCAATTCCCGCCTCCCAAAAGATAGCCTCACATCAGATTAACTTTGTCATATTCTTACATGAATACGATAAACATTATACACATGATCAGTCTCATCCATTGGCAATTCCGATCCTCTATGAATAACTGAAAAATGATGTTCTCTATTATTTTGAAACTGAGGTACATAAGAATCTATTGCCTAAAATTAATAGTAACCCATAAATATAACAAATCAATTGCAATCTCCAACAACTTCAGCTTCCTGGTGCTCTTTACAGGAAGCCTGAAGCATATAGCTTCATGCAGAATTATCACTCTGAAGTGCCAAATGATCAAGATGATATTCATATGAAAGCAAAAGCAGTTGTAACATCTACAGACACATTTACTATTCTGGAAACCAAACTTGATCAGTTGCACAACATAATTTCCATAAATAAACTAACTTTGTTTAGTTTGAATGGTAAGTCATAATGTAAGGCAATTCCAAGTGCAAGCATTAAGACTTGCTTTTTAAAAAAAATATTTTTAGTTGTAGGTAGACACCATACCTTTAGTTTATTAATTTATTTTTATGTGGTGCTGAAGATGAACCCAGTGCCTCACACATGCTAGGCAAGCACTCTATCACAGAGCCACAATCCTAGCCCCAAGACTTGCTTTTGATTAGTGGAAGGTAACATGTATTTTTATAATTTTTTATTCCCATCTTCAACATCCCCAGTAAATTCTTCAAAGGAACAGATCATCTTTATTTTTCTGCTGCAATCTCATGGTACTATGAATAAAGAAGATATTCAGTAAATGTCTATTAATTTAAATATTTTACCAATTCTTTTGACTATTCCGTATAATGGATTTTAAAATCAAATTAGTCGTGGTTTAACAGTCCCCCCCCTCAAAAAAAACCCTTTGTGTATAGTAGCAAACAATAGTTATCAAAGAAGTAATCACATACAACAAAAAAGCAAATCTTCTAAACAGGGTGTTGCCCTAAATACTAAAGAATCTTTTTATAGTTTGGCTGAATACTGTTCATTAATCAACACCTCAGGAGCTTCTTTACTCTTCATATTTCACCTTCTGAGTACACAAAGAACTTATAACATTCTGAAAAGACCCCTATGGTGTCTAAAAAAAAATTAACCACGCATTTGGAAACTAAGAATTGCAATAATTTTCTGACACACTAAGGGGATAAAGAGTGGAAAAACTGCCCCTCTCTCTGACTTCTGAAAAAAATCCAAGAACAATGTAAACTTGAACATATCGAAGTACCTGTTTCTCCATCTATAAAACACAGAAACCAAATGTGGGCAAAATAAAGCCTCATCTAATGGAATTATCAAAATCTGAGGAAACTCAATAACACCATTATTGATAAAAACAAAGTTGGTATGTAATTTATTTTGCTGGTTTACCATTTCTCTACAATACCTATCAATTACTGCACTCAGAAAAGTGCAATTCCTTACCAAGAATACTACAGAAAAGTTCTTTCCTAAGAACATTTAGGACCTACTGACAGTCTACAAAAAAAAAAAAAAAAAAAAGGTTTGGTTTGGAAACAAAAAAGGCAAGTGTTGAGGAAAATATAAACCTACTGAAAACAATCATCCGGATTCAAGTTCGCCCCTCATCCCACAACTAATACAGAGCATTTCAAAAGCACATTGCATTTCTAAAAATCATTCAGAGAAAAAGGAAAAAAATTAAAAGGGGACTCCACTGCGACAAGCCTTGTAGATGAGGCCTGGAGCCCTGGGATCCCCCAAAACCCACAAACATCAGGTACAGGAGCTCACACAATGAAGAAGATTCGAGGAGGGGAAGATTCGCGCAGTGTGTACTTTTAGAGGTAAATGTAAGAGATTTTTAAAAATTAAAGAAAAAAGTAGGAAAGAAAAAAAGGAAAACAGAACAGAATATTACTTATTATTCAAAAGGCCGCGGCCACTTCCGGACCCTACCTCTGAGTTACTCCACTTCCGGGTCTTCTAAGAAACGCCGGCTCCCACTGATAAGCCCCACAGCCAATGAGAGTCTCAGCTACTTCCGCAGCGCCTCATGATGTATCTAAGTCCCGCCTTTTCCGGTTAGGAGAAGCCTATCCTAGCGTCGGTCTCGAGAAGCTGCGGAGGAGGTGCCGTGATAGGCCCAACCGGACTGCTGAAGAGATCAAGAAGGGCATGTGGGGCGTGCACGCCTCTTCCGCCTTGGGCCCGGAAGGGTGATGTGGCTGGGGCATCGCTGGCCTCACTATGGTAAGAATCGGGGCTACCGGGTTGCTATTTAGCTTCGAGCAGGGTCTGTTCCCCGCAGTAGGGCAGCTGGTTTGTGCGGGCGCCCTGGGTGCACGAGCCAAAGTGTTCTGTCACTAACTTGATTTTCCCGGGACTTGGAGGGTGCACAGGCCATGGAGCCATGTGCCCCTGCACGTCCAACCCGGGAGAATCCGGGCTGACCTTCCAAAGAGGACCCCGTAGTCTCGGATCCCAGCCCTTCTAGCTGAGGCTCTCCCTTCCTTGTTTAGGGGGAATGTGCTGTTTTGACTTAACCGGTCTGTTATATAGGTTATCTGTGGACATTGACTCTTTGGAATTTTAGAGCCTCTCTAGCATCTGCTTTTTTTTTTTTTTTTTTTAATTCTTTTTTGTGTTTCCTTAGCTCTCCCTACGTGCTTGACCCGGGTTTTATTTGTTCTTTTGTTTGTTTTTTCTACATCAGACTCAACATCTTTAATTTCACCTGTTGAATCAGTGGCCTTTTGTACCCTTTCCAAATTATTTTCCATAATCCTAAAGATGCTTCATTCCAAACTGTAGGTTTTAATAATTGAAGTTCAGAGCAAAAGTGGGTTTCTTGTCTAATAGCTTAATGTACTTCTCATAATTATGTTTGACCTCAGCTTCCATCCCTGCCTGCATCACTTTCTTAAATGTATTTTATTTTATTTTATTGTAGATTTCTTTGGTAATTTAGGTCTCATAGAAAAGTGTTAATATTAAGTCAGAATAATCACAAAAGACATTTGCAAAGGAAAGAAGTAAAGCCAGGGCCACCAGGAGATGGGTGTAATGTAAATCTCTGAAGCTATATCTGAAAGCATTTTACTTTTGTTATGGTCAATGCCAACAGCCTTCCACAAAGCCCTCATGGTGAAGTTATGAAATCAGTATGCCAAATACAGCCTTTATGAGCATGCCAACCTGATGTATGCCTGTTTTTATAGAGTTAAAAGCAACCATGACCCTTCCAAAAGCTAAGAATTTCCATGGCAAAATATTACTGAGTTTGTGTTCTTAGAAGTTTCTGCAGAATCCCATATGCCACACAAATCTCACACTTATAGTTGAAAAATAATTATTAATCTTACCTACATTGTGCTGGCAAGTTTGATTATAATTAGGCATAAGTCAAATTTCTCTATTAAAGGAGATAAGTTTATTAGTACATTAATCCTTCTCTGAGTATGGATTTTATTTCCTCTTTCAGCTTCTTTTCCCACCTATTACAATATACAATACATTTGCTTTTAAGGGTATCATTTAACTTATTTAATTTAGCAAAAACTGTGTTCATTTTTCAATTTAAAAGAATTAGGAAGACTCATTCTTGCATATCTTCCTAGAAGCTGAAATTGAATTGTTTTACTCATAATACAAGTCAAAGATACATCCTTCTTTTCAACATCTATCAATACACCAGCTAAAAGCAAGATATAGTTTAAGATCAGCAGTAAACTATGTTGCTGTGCTTCCTTTTCCAAAAATAACAATAATAGCTTTCATTCATTAGTACTTACTATGTACTAGGTTCTATTCAAAAAATAATTTATATGCATTGTTTTATTTAATGCTCACAACTTCTGAGTAGATGTTTATGGGTAAAGGAAATGAGGTATAAGAAAGTACCTGGAATCATGCACCTAGCAAATAGTGAAACTAGAACCCAAATATTTTAATATATAGGTGCTGGAAATCTTCATGCTATGAATAGAAACAATAGAATTGTGGATAAAATAAGTCTAGTGATTCGTTGCTCTCAAACATACAATTGTCCCTTATTATCCATGGGAGATTGATTCTAGGACCCTCCGAAGTATACTAAAATCTCAGATACTCACCCCCCTATATAAAATGGTATATTTGCATACAGTACAGACACATCCTCCCATGTACTTTAAATTCTCTGTGTATTACTTTTAGTACCCAATATGATAAATGCTGGGTAAATAGTTGTTATACTGTATTGTTTAGGGAATGATGACGAAACGTGTTCAGTACAGATGTGCAATTTTTTCCCAGTATTTTCAGTCTATGCTTGGTTGAATCCATGTATTTGGAACCCACAGATACAGAGGACCAACTATAGGTATTCTTGTATGTGTAGAATGGCTGTGAAAGGATACACAGGTAACTGGTAATATTGAAAAGGAACTTGAACCGAGACAGGGATAACCTGCTGGATATTCCCTGAAACTGTTAAAATTTAAAACAAAAACAAAAAACTCATACATAGATTTTAATTCTTTTAAGAAAAAAGAAGCTTGTGCGGTTTTATATTAAAAGTACTACTGGCCATATTTTATAAATGAAAAAAGAAATAGATAAAAATATTAAGTCTCTTGTCTAAGATCACAGCGCATGTAAATAGTGAAGCTAAGATTTAAACTTAATGACTCCTTTTGTCACCAAACCTGTGCTGTGTGTACTACAAAATAATGCCATAAATTCTGCTAAGAATTTAAAAGAAAAAGCAAGGTTTGAATAGGGTGGGGGGATTAAGGTAATAATACTGTTGCCACTATTCCTTTTGCATCATCTGTCAATGTGGCATCACAGTAGAAAGGCAAATGTCTTCATGTATTATTAAAATAGTTTTGACCCCATAAACCCTTATATGAACTTCACTGTGAGAACCACAGCATTAGACTAATAGAAATCTAATGGAATGTAAGTCCTCTTACCAAAGTGCTTTTAACTTTGCAAGTAAAAACTTTCAGGGAGTTTTGAGAAACAACAGATTCCAGACCAGATAATAACATATTTGGGGACATTGTTTTTAAAAGCCCTAGATGAATATGATGAGCAGCCAGGGTTTATACCCTGTCTGACCTCCAGTTTTCAGAAGCATTACCATTTTATCAGTCTTTGTCTTTTCCTGATTCCATGGTCAAATGCTCCCTTATAGCATGATTTACTCTTGGTCCTTCAGAATAACCTTTTGTCACATCATTTTATCAGACTCATATGAAGCATTTATTCATTCTTTTTCACTCTGTTCTTCATAGTTTTGCATATTTCTTAAAAATTTTTGACATCCTCGTAGTCTTATATTTAATAAATCTGAGTTGTGTATAAAATACCTACAAAACTGAGCAGCACAAATGATAAATTCACTGTAGATATCTTTCAGTGAAGATTACTATAAATGGCCACAGGTTTTGCTGGTGGAGACCAGTTGAGGTATATCTACAACAGACTGCAGCTTTACTCATAACCATGGGAGGTTTTTAAGTACACTCCTAAGTAGAGGAGAGAAGGGTATAGCTTTTTGAAACAAGACTGGTAAGGTCAAATGAACATTTAACCCAGAACCCTCACTTTACAAATGAAACTGATAAGTAAAAATATAAATTTGTCCAAGGACAAATTTTATATATTAAATAATGCAAATATTTAGTAGCCACTGGTGCTAAGGAAACAGGTTATGTACATTCATTTGAGGCCAATGTTTATCCTGCATTTTCGGGTTTTCCATTTTAAGAGACAGTAGTGGCATATATGAGTTTACAAGTAGAAACTAATTGGAAAATGCTAACCTGACCTATATTTGTAAATGATAAATACTGACCCACTTTTCTAGTAGTGTATAATTTTTATCATAATTAGGTCAGGAATGTCATTTCTTTGTTCCTCTGTACCACCAGAGAGGAATAAAATAGTTTGAAATAAAAGAAGTAGATATTAATAAAAGTTTCTAAATTCTGTGTTTAGTAGTCAATGTTTGTTTTAAAAGGTCTTGATTTATGCTAGAGGAATTATGTCAGTAAAACTTATTTCTGGGCTGGGGTTGTGGCTCAGTGGTAGAGTGCTCACTTAGCATGCCTGAGGCGCTGGGTTCAATCCTCAGCACCACATAAAAATAAAGATGTGTCCATCTAAAACTAAGAAATAAATATTTTTTAAAAACTTATTTCCAGCATAGGAAAGAGTCAACATAATTCTAAAGTTAAATACACTACATTGAGCCAAAATGATTGAATACTAATGAAAATACTATAGGTTCAAAGTTCTTTCTATAGATTAAGTATGGTTAATAGCCAATCATTGAGCATTGCCTAAGCAAAGCATGTTTAGCATACTGATGTGTATAATTCTGCTTTTCTCATGGGGTATTTTTGTACCTTTGTTTTGATTGGCTCTTTCCCCATTAAAAATTTTTTTAACAAATACGTTGAGCTTTTCAACTTGGTCATCTAAAAACAAAAAAAAAATCTCCTATATAGAATTTTCATTCTTACATTTGAACTCAATGAATATAATTTTAGCACTCAAGAATGACTCAAGAAATTTTATCTTAATAGATAAAATATGATAACAAATTGAATCTGAAGGAAATATTCCTAATTTTTAAATGGACTTAAGAATATAGAATTGTAAAAGGTTTAGCAACATTGCAAGTAATTTCATGTTCAAAACATTAGTGTTGCATTAAGCAGTGTCCATCTATTCATTAATAAATTATTGCATATAATGATAGGTAAGCAATGAAAAATCTCAATTATTGTATTTCTTTCAAAATACCTTACTAATTATTTATTTCATAATGCTTATACAAAGTATTTGGGTCAACAAGTTTATTTTTTCTGGTTTGGATAAATTAACTTGGTGCCATAGCACTAATTACTTTAAAGCTTATCAGAAGTTCTGATTAGTTATAAGCAGGAGGATAGCTCTGCAATACAGAGTAATAATAGAAGAGATTTGGAAGAAAAATTGAGGGCCTACAATGCCATTTTAGAAGAATCAGCACAAGTCAAGGCAGGGTAGGTACAATTCACAACCTCAAGGGTTACTATTCTGATTTTATTGGAAATTGTATACCAGAGGATGCCATATGCAGCACAATTTCAAGGAAATGTCATTGATATCCTTTATAGAAAAGAAATATTTATAGGTATAGTACACAGAATGTCTTCCCACCCCAAACCAATGAATGTTATCATACATCACAAGAGTGACTTTGCCTATATGATTTA